AATTGTCAAAGAATGGGAACAAGTGGCAGAGATTTGGGTCTCCGCAGCTTGATACAATAGTCTAAACATGATTATTGATGGGACATGTACAACGGCTGAATAATAATACATCAAACAATATTTAGGGTAATCCTCTAACCAAGAAATTGCCTGGATTATGACAATTTATGTCGACCAGATGTCAAATGACATCTGGTCTCTATCCGAGCTCATTACTCGAGCATACTCTAGGAAAAGTCTGCTCGGATCTAGCGTCAGAGTATTGTATCACCTTTTGTGGAAAAAGACCTGCCTAAATTGATATGCGACCATGTCCTCTTTCCTCCAAAAGTTACGACTCCATTCGCGTCCTTGAAGGCCAATCTTTTCGGCAAGCATATCGTGCCCACCTCCACCTTCCGTGTCACCCCGGAAGAAAGATATTACATCATAGAGATCTGTCAAGTCGTTTTTTATGGGAACGTAATGGAACCAGGGTTGTACCCTATCGGCATACCTGGGAGCATCTATGAATATCTCATTCCGGTTGAGAAAAACAGTGGAGCATACCATTCAGGAAATACGGTGGATTTGAAAACCATAGATCTAGAAGTCATAAGACTCTTGAATCTCGCAGACCATCCATTTCCGTCAACCTAGGATTTCCAACTTCAGTTGAAAAATTTCATACAACACGGCTACATACTCACGTCCAAGATATACTTGTGTTTCCATGCCATCTCCTCTGGTTGTCGTTCACCAAAGTTGAACAGTTCCACAAGCTTTTCACAAAACGGTGAAATGCATTGTACAGGATCTCCCGCGAAGGCAATGTCCATATAAGCCGGGTTTGCGGCACTCTTTTGTACCTGGATCAAAGGACCGACGGGCTCATCTGGTCCACCGGCTGGTCTCAACACGTTCAGATATCCATCCCGCTCATCTACCGCTCGCATGAGTCGAATGCGTTGCGTGTATTCCCAAGGATTCAAACCATTGAACTCCATACCCGTATTCGATCCTCGCCAGTACAAGCGATCATCTGTCTTGTCACTCCATTCAGGATCATCATCAACATCATCAATCCACCGTTCCAAGGCCACTGTAAGGATATCGGAATGAAGTAAGGTCGTGCACATGCCAAAAGTTGGAACCATAGTCTCTTCGGGATATGGCCCTTCTGCATAGGACTCGAGGAATCCCGTCAAGTGAAGATGGGAGGGGTGCAAGCAAGGATCCATTGCGCGTTTATGATCCCATATAAATGTCTTTGGCTGCTCCCATCGCTCAGTCATGTTAACCAGAACGGTTGCGTTTGGTGCCCATATGGCGCTGGAGTCTGCACAGGCATAACCCCATCCGCGGTCAAGGTGATTGAATGTACGTCCACGGTCGACGTCTAAAGGAAGTGCATTGAATGAATGGAATATGGTGAAGACTGAGAGCAGACTCACATTCGCCAGCAGCAGCCCTTTCAACAGCTTCCGACCTTAGGTCATGCCCAATAAATTGGGCAGGTCCATCATGAGCCGTAAAGGTTGCTCGGAAACTGGGAAGCCATTGCAGGACATCACGTAAGAGGGTCATTTGGTCCTCGGCTCGTATTGCTGCATTGGATGCTTCGAACCCCTCTGGCAAGGTATTCCTGACCAACGCGATCTTGCCATTTTCATGCGCCAATGTATAAGACCCATCATGGTTCTCCCAATCCCTCTGCCTAGCCTGAAGATCTGCGGGTTCAAAACCCCAGAAAGGCTCGATATCGTGGTAAATTTGATCATATTCGTCTGGGAGCTGGACGTTGTTACTCTGCACATAATCCCACCTAAAACGAAGTCAGACCTTTGGGTTGGCCGATCGAAAGAAGAAACTCACCATTTGTCGAATCCCACTGGGGGTGGTCGATGGTATCGTTTGTGATACTCTTTGACTGCATCTTCAAGCGTTTTGCTTGCATTATCGAGTTTTCGCCTCCAATGCTTCTCGGCGCGGCCAAGAAGCTCATATATAGGATGAGGGGCGGAGAGATTGACCTCAACGAGTCCATCCCCTCGGTAATGATGGTTCTCATGTGAGGATACAGCTGAGTTAGTCTCGGGATCAGATTGCGGTTCCAGATCGAATCCGCTGTTCAATAGCGAAAACCAATCGTAGAATACCCCAGGTTGATCGGCGTCGAGGTCTTCTTCGTCGACGAGATCGGCGCTTTGCCTGAAAAACGACGCTATGTGAAGAAACGCGTTGGATCTGACATCCTGTTTGTAAATCAAAGGCGTGGACTCCTTTGATGAGAGTAATGGGTGATTTGATAAGTGGAAGACGATAAGAAGTAGGATGCCAAGGGCCGCGATTGGGAATGTCCCCCGACTAGCGCGAAGAAACGTGCGATTCATTCCCTGAGGCGTAGAAGGATACCAAGAAGTTGGGTCTCCCACGTCAAAATGTTCGAGACCCGCCGTTTCTTTGGAACAGCCGTAGCCGAGACTGAAATCCAAAAATCCAAAAAACAAAACAAGCGACGTTCATTTGAAAACTCCGATCGAAAACATTGGTCACATGACTGTCACACATCTTTCTTTGGTCAACATTACAATTCCACCGACGCGTCGAACCGCGCATGCCTCGAGAAATAGTAACCGTTCAGCTAGGTCAATGTGGAAATCAAGGTAAATGGTGAATTAACTCTTTTTACTCTATGCTAATGTCGTCTCAGTGGGCCAGGTATTCTGGCAAAGACTCTGTGCTGAGCACGGCATCAGTGATCAGGGTATATTGGAAGAATGGGCTACGGAAGGCGGCGACAGAAAAGATGTGTTTTTCTATCAGGCCGACGATGAGCACTATATTCCTAGGGCAATACTGGTAGATTTGGAGCCAAGAGTACGCGTTCACGACAATTCTTGAGAGTGCAATAACTAAAAATCTACAGGTCATCAATAACATTCTAACCTCTCCCTATGCTGGCCTGTATAACCCAGAAAACATTTTTGTCTCCAAGGTAAGTGTCTGGTAGGAAAATCACTGATCTTGATTCTGAGTTTGTTATAGGACGGCGGCGGAGCTGGAAACAATTGGGCCATGGGGTACTCTGCTGGCGAAAGACATTATGAAGAGATCATGGAAATGATTGATAGAGAGGCGGAAGGCAGTGATTCACTCGAGGTGTGTCGAAAAACCTGCAAGTGACAACCCATGTTAATGACTTTTACAAGGGTTTCATGTTGATGCACTCGATTGCTGGCGGAACTGGATCTGGCTTGGGATCCTATTTATTAGAAAGATTGAATGACAAGTTCCCAAAGAAACTCATTCAAACCTACAGCGTCTTCCCAAACAATGTATCGGACGTTGTGGTTCAACCATACAACAGCCTCCTAGCCATGAAGCGACTTGCCAATCATGCAGATTCAGTGGTGGTCTTGGATAATGCCGCTCTAGCACGGATTGTTGCTGATAGGCTACATGGTTTAGACGCTACGGCCAGCTTTACTCAGACCAATCAACTGGTGAGTCGTAACAGATTCACTCTTGAAAGGTTGCTAATACGATAGCACAGGTGTCAACAGTAATGGCTGCCAGCACCCAAACATTGAGATACCCTGGTTATATGAACAATGATCTTGTCGGTATCATTGCATCCTTGATACCCACACCGCGCTGTCATTTTTTGATGACGAGTTATACCCCATTCACGAGTGATCTGATTGACAATGTGGGTGGCCTTTAAACCGCTTGAGTTTGACCTAACATTTGTTGCAGGCCAAGAACACACGCAAGACAACCGTATTGGACGTCATGAGGCGTCTTCTGCAGCCGAAGAATAGAATGGTGTCAACATCGCTCACAAAATCCTCGTGCTATATATCGATCCTCAACATAATCCAAGGTGACGTTGATCCAACGGATGTATGTCAGATTCTGTTTCACACAATAAACCTGCTAATCATGTGAGTAGGTCCATCAATCCCTGTTGCGAATCCGTGAAAGGCAGATGGCATCTTTTATTCCTTGGGGTCCAGCATCTATACAAGTGGCAATCACTAGGAAGTCACCGTATCTTACATCAGGCCATCGAGTCAGTGGTTTGATGCTTGCAAATCACACAAGCATGGCGTCTGTAAGTTGTTTTATATCGCATATGTTTCCCATCGTTAAAGCTGGGGTTCTAGCTATGTAAGCGGGCATTGGATCAATATGATCGACTTCGAAAACGGAACGCCTTCTTGGAGCAATATAAGCGTGAAAGGCCTTTCGAAAATGGACTGGAGGAATTTGATGATTCGAGGTATGTGCGCATTTCGCGTCCCCAACCGGTCCGCTAATCGAGTCGCGCCAGAGCTGTCGTTGAGGAGCTGATGAACGAGTACAAGGCCTGTGAAACTCCGGATTATATATCTTATGTACGTCACACGGACTAGAGAACGGGGCACTTTTGACAATTGCTTTAGGCAGATCCAATTATATCCAACGACTAGGAGAGAAGCAGGTTTCGTTGTGTGTTTGTCTGTGACTGCATTCTACTTGTACGTTGTTACCACCTTGCCAATTAATCTGCATCTTGATCAAAAACGTCGTTACTGGAAGATCTACAACACCAATAGGTAATGAATAATGAATGATCGACTTCAGCGACCATGTCAAATTATGGTCCTCCCGAAATAACCCCTAAATTGGTCCAAGTATATAAACTGGGCTACAATGCGCTGGACAGTGCAAGAAATACCGCAAGTCTGAAGGAATAGAGAAAGTGTTTGATTCATTCTTGACATTAAGCTAACATGAATTTCCTTTTTTGGTAATATAGATGTTGAATCCCAATTTAGGTAAGAGTAGAGTTCCAAAGCGCAAATCAGAGGATTTTGATACTGATATTGAATAACACAGGTACTTCCGCATCATTCAAGTATAATACACCGCTGAATAATGTGGTTCTACGTCGTAGGAGCTTCTATATGGAGGATTGTGACTATCTGGCTAATTTCTGCGTATATTGGCGTCTTTTTGCAGTTTCTGCCTATAATGCCCGCGTGGCGAAATGGATATCGCGTCAGACTTCTATTCTTTAATGGAACCATCTGAAGACTGCGGGTTCGACCCCCGCCGTGGGTTATTTTAACGAATTCACGTATAATTGTGGATTTTTTTCGCTAAGGTTCGCTTTTAATCGTTTTTACCGCTAGAAAATGACAGAAACATACCGCAGGAACATCTACTATGTGGATCGACGCTTAGATTCCGAGCAATCGTTCTCTGAATAAGTGCTCTCGAATCCTTCTATTCTGCCATTTGTTGGAAATCGAGAGTAATGGTCGTGGGTAGCTGAAAGTCCAAAAAAGTCAGAGCGGCTGGGTACGGCTTTGCGTTACATTCCACTGCAAGTTTAGATCATAACTAATCTATTCAGATCGTTATAGCAGCACTGGCCCGCAATCTCATCCGATTCCAACATGCAACGATTATGGTCGGAGGTCCCAAGAATAGGTGACCGGGTCAACCATCAAACACCTGTCGACAGCTCAATCGAGGCAAATTGGTTCGTCGAAGATGGACGCATTCGCCTTCCTGAGGTGCGAATGATGCACAATTCAACTTGACGTTCGTTGCTCAAAGTTTGCGATCGCGAGTTTCCTCGGGGTCCAAGTCTGGAAACGGCGAGGTAGGGAAAAGGCAACGACGAAATGACTCTTATCAGCCCCGCTTGTGGAAAAGCGGTGCTCCATGTCAAAGGCAAAGTAACTTGTCTCAATAGTATCAAACATATGCTCTCAAAGGCGCATCGAGCGCATCGCCCCGGCTAACTTGGAACATTTTGGTAAGGATATGTCATCTCACCTCCAACCAGCAACGACGATGTCATGCCCAACAGTGCTCTAAACGATTATAGCGGTATATATGGGCCGATTGCTTTATCTGGGTGAACATGGTTAGTATTGGCGTCAAGACTACGTGTCGGGAGAGGGTGGCGATGATCTAAGATGGTATAAACGTGGAATCAGCTCACTGATCCAACCCTCCTTATTGTGGTACCGCTTTCGATTTTATTGGTTAAGACCTCCAAATAAGACACAAAGTATACACCCTACGGTTTGGTATACACTACGTGGTATTTGTCTACAGCCCGAACGTGTACGTTGTACACATTGCAACAGCGTCTATTTAGGCACCACCACCAATCCACCATCACCGTCATGTCTGTCTCACATTATATGGAATCTCAGCACCTTGGACTCGCCAAATTAAATGGTGGCGAAGACGGTGGATCAAGACCTTTAAAGGACTTTATCGTCTCCTCGGGTTGTACTGTGCTTGAAGACCTGCTTGAATTGAAACGAAGGGTGAGGTCTCTTTGAGCGTCAACAAGTTGATATGTTCATATGTGTTACAGGGCTGGGATGCGGGCACGCGTCTTGACGCACACTTTACCAAGCTGCGCCAGAGATCCGCCATTTCGTCTAGTAGGGGCGATGAGCGATTTTGGATTCGGAAAATGTACAGTAGCATTGCAGAGATGGACTCTGCCTTGGGTTTGATCCCTCGTTTGAAGCCCTTTCGGTTCTTGGATCTGGGGCAAGTCAGCCTACTGGACACGTCTATCCCTAGACTGAATATATTGACATAGATGCGCACCCGGAGGCTACTCGACATATATCCTCGAAAAGTGTATCAATTCCACAGGCGTCGGAATCACTCTACCCGTTGAAGATGGCGGTCATGTCTTCGCAATGTCCGAGAAGTATCTTCAGGACAGGTATGAAGTTCACTATCAGGACCTCACCACCTACGACGCCGCAGCGCCTTCAAGGGTGGCAAAAGACGACTCTCCTCTTCCTTTTCAAAAACACTCTTTCGACTTTGTGATTCTCGATGGCCACCCACTCTGGAGCCGTCAGTACGATTGGAACACGGCTTGGGTTCTCCTCGTATCACAATTGTTGATTGCGCTTCATGCAGTGAAGGCTGGTGGCTCGCTGTTTGTCAAACTGGATAGACCAGAATCACCCTTTGGTGCCCGATTCATGTATCTCCTCGACTCCATCTCCACGACGATGAAGACCATCAAACCGAACACCGTTCACGGCAACAGGGGAACCTTCTATGCACTTGCTCGAGGAGTTAGACTCGATGAGCAAACAGAACGATTTATCCAAACTCTGCAAGATCTTAGGATGAAGTATGAATTGGCAGGAGAGCCTATGGATAGGCGGGGTCTTGATTCTGTAAGATTGGATGGTTTCCAAGGTCTTCCTCAATCGGCGTTGGACAGTATCGTCCCGCTAGGATTGATAAAGACTGTCTGGTTACCAAGGCTCATTGAGCTTGGCGCTCCCGTATGGAAAGTGCAAAAGGAACATCTGACGGTATTCCTTCGCAAGAAAAAGGTATCCATGGAGAACGACATTGATGAAGAGTTATGATACCCATAATCAATAGTTTCACTTCATTACAATCTAGTTACGGAATAATGATGTAAGCACGAAATCCCAAGAGAGCCCATGTTCCAAGATGCAACGAAGTGGGAGTAATGCCCAAGAGATAGCGGAATTACATGAGACCCAAACCGCTGCGAACCGCGTCAACGAGCTCCCAATTACTCGTATCACCATGAACATCAAACATGTTGATGCCTTTAATGCCAGCTTTCTTCGCAAAATCTCCCTTGATTTTCAGCGACTGAGGATCATCATAAGTTATTATCTGTCCCTGAGACTCTGATCGGAGGAAGGGCTTATTTCGTAAAATTTAGTCTCAAACCTCTTCATGTCTATGTTTATAACGTACTGTGCTCGAACAACTGTCCCATCTACGCTGGAAACCTCCTGCTCCAACGTATACTCCATCCTTCTTTACTAAAGCTCCCTGAGAGATCAATCCGTTGAACTGCATTTGACCGTTATTAGTTCCCCCATCATCATTTTTGACTGTAACGGATTCGGAACGGCCCGAAAGTTGCTGGACCTTTGATCGGGAGATATATCCATATCTGAACACGACGATTTCAAAAGGATGCGTCGGGGTTAGGAAATAAGAAATGTTCTTACGACGGAACACCCAAAGTCAGCTTCTCCAGGGGCATACCTGCCGCTGTCCAACTCTTTACGGCTGCAACTGCATTGGCCAAAGGTTGTGTGGAGTTATGACACCCATCGTCAAGAGGGGCGTTGGGTCCAGGCGTTGAGGAAGCTAACAACGTACGTCAGTTACGACAAGACGACCATCAAGCTGCAAAGACATTGCGAGCCCCTAGCAAGCGCTCGCAAGGGACAGCAAGATCTCGCAAGGTCTCGCGAAATGTTGCAAGGCACATGTGCCCTTCCCAGGGTTCGCAATTTCTGGACAAGAACAAGGCACTTACATCCCCAGACATCATAATTCATCATTAGAATCCAATCAAACAACTTTGCAAACTCCCTGACATCGGACATCGGCCTTCCGTCCGGTCCAGCAAAGGGCCAAACCTGAGTCGCAGCTGTAATAACCGCTCCTTGTGGTAATGATACCCGAAGAACTTTGAGGAACTCTAGAAAGTTCCGGGAATCGGAAGAGGACACGACATTTCCTGAATCTCCAGGTGTACCAGGATACTCCCAGTCACTATCGAGATGTTAATAGATGAATACCACTACCGGAGATAATCGCTCACATGTCGATGCCATCCAAGTTGAACTTGTTGTAGATGGCAACAAATTTCTGGGCGAAAAGTTTCCGATTCTCACTGGTGGATACAGCAGTAGAAAAGTACCTGGAAAAAAGGGAATCCACAATTAATCAGTATCGATAATAACCGAGATCTCGGTTTCCTAGTACTAACTTGCTTCCTGTCCATCCTCCGACACTGAGTTTGACTCCTTTGTTTTTGGCATGGGCAGCAATCACAAGTCGTCTCAGGAGATCTTCGGAATCGTCCTGAGTAAACTTGAGATTGAAATTCGCGTCCGGAACCGCGAATGCTATCCTCATCCAATATCAGGATCCGAGCAACAAAGAAACCGGTAGGGGCTCACCGAAATCGACCCAATCGAACCTATCAAAGTCTACCTTTTCCGGAGGCATTGTTCGTCCTGCCCAATCCGGATAGTAGGCCATCATCATGGGCTTGTTGCTGACAGCGGCAACATGGGACGACGGAGAGGCCGAAGGCGTCGAACCGATTGTCAGGGTACTTGTGGATGTCCGAGTACCAACATCAGAAGCGCTTGTCGTGGTCGCTTGCTTTGTACATGTATCGCCAGCTTCTTTGACCACTGGCGGAGCGAACAGGACGCGGAATTCACCCTTGCGGAGACCCAAGTGTGAGTTGGGAGGCGTGCCTTTTGTCGGGGAAGGAGCAACCAGCACCGGGATGCCTTGGCTCGTTGCCAAAGGTGTAGGTGTGGGATCAGCTTTCTTGCCTATCAAGATGGCGGTTAACGGATGCTCTGCCCCATGTCGTGGACCGTGTTTCTTCACGCGCAACGACCTATGCGGGGCTGCGTTCACTCCAATAAAGTTTAATAGCAGAAGCAGGTAAAACGTGTGAAAGTGCATATCGAATGCACCGATAGCCGGACCTGATCAAAGATCCCAAATATTATGAGAATAAAGATATTGGATGTTGAGATCAACCCAACTGTTCCTCTTGTGGATTATGAGGAAATAGCAGAATGACCAAAGGATCGAACTGCTTGAATTAGGTGGTCGAAAGAGCCAGCATTGCCAAGGCCGAGTGTAGATAACTTGACCGGACATAGTTGATACGGCCAGTGGATTAGCAATCGTAATGAGTCAAATTTCCAACCAAACAGCATTTAGGCCGTCCAAATGACGATCACGGAGAGTATGGTTGAAACTCAGAGGTTTCGGTAGCATTCGTCAGCCACAATGATTAGCCATTAGCATGGGGAAGCATAGACTTTGCCGGTAAATGGATAGCTTCAGACGCCGTACGATGTTGGGACGGAAAAATTGAAATTCACAGGAATTAAGCTGTGTCTATGAGGCGCCCAAGGTATATCCACGGATCTACTGTGAGGTCACGGTGCCTCTCATAAGTGATGAGTCGTTTCAGGGCGTTCAGGGAGCGTTTGATTGCATTGTTTCCATTGTATATACCAGGGGGACAACGGTGCTGC